GGCGCCTCCGGAATGATGGCGGGATCCCTCGACAAGTAGTACATGCGTTGGCCGGCGCCAGTGTGCTCAGGATTGTGCGTTGCCATCGGCGGAAGTGATGTCACGCATGTGGCGCGAGCCAGCTTGCTCAGGGCATGCCTCGCAAACTTAGGCAACTCTGCCGAAGATGACCATGCCTGGACGTCTGTCATCCTCCCGTCGCGAGCGTTGGGAAGTCGGCCTTGTCGGATGATATTGGCCTCGATTGCCTTGGCCGAGTGCTCGTCGAACGTGATGCAATGCTCCCGGAAACACGGCTTGCCGTTTGTGAAACCGACGCACTCGTTGAAACATACGTACCCTTGTTGGGCGAGCGCCTCAGCGGAAGAAGAGCTCATATTATTGTTGTATGTACGTGGTGGAGTCACGGCGTCGTAAACGTGAAACCGCTTGAGCCCAAAATGGCTAATAATGATTCGGAGGAATCAACAAGGCCCGTGCCAAGTGATCTTGGAGGTGATGGTGGTGAGTGTGGTGATGAGTGCGATGAGGGCCGTGATGATCAAGAATGGGAAGATGGCCCAGAGGACCTCTCGTGGCCCAGGCCAGCGCCGTTGAGAATTACGAGCCGAATCCAGCCGACGAGGGGTAGATGACGATGGCGATGATGACAATGACAGTGTTAGCCAGTGTTATGATGTGTTATTTTATTTTCTTGCCCAGCCCCAGCAGGCCTGCGTCTCCAACGACGACGGCCCAGCCCGCGTCTCCAACGACGACGGCCAGCAGGACATCCACCCGGGGGGGGGGGGGAGGGCGGGAAGGAGGGCCAGGAAGAGTAAAGGCGTGGGGGAAGAAGAAGGAGGGGGAAGAAGATGCACCCGGACGCGAGCGAGGCAAGAGGGAGAAAGGTGACGAGGAGGGGGAGGGCGGAGGGTGGAGGAGGAGAAGGAGACGGAGGTAGGGTAGTATGGAGAAGGAGGACGATCAGGAGGTGCGATGTTCTCCAATTCAAGCTCAAGCTATTGACTGGTCTGGATATCATCATTTTCATATTTTTCCTCGAGCTCAATCTGGCCTCCAACATTCCCGAACGTTCCGATTTGGGGGTTGTGTGAACGCAATCTGGCTTCCAGCATCCCCGAACGTTCCGAATTGGTATGTTTTTACTCGAGCTCAATCTGGCCTCCAACATTCCCGAACGTTCCGATTTGGGGGTTGTGTGAACGCAATATGGCTTCCAGCATCCCCAGACGTTCCGATTTGGTATGTTTTTTCTCGAGCTCAATCTGGCCTCCGACATTCCCGAACGTTCCGATTTTCAGCGCGGGCTCCAAGAGCGTGGCAATAACATCCCTGCACGCTCCGAATATGGCATGGGCGCCTCATCTTGCTGCCGAGGAGATTCCCCCAGCTCACGCGCGACCCAAACCCTCATAAGGATTGGGCTCTGTCGGCAGTAGCCGCCGCGGGCGTGTTGGCAGGACTGGCCCCAGGGCCACCCTCTACCAACACTCCCGAACGAACGGGAGTGTTGGGGGCCACTCTGCAAGGCGCTACGCAAGGACTTCCCCTGTCGGGCCAGTCTCTTCTCGGACAGGTTCTGGGCTTGCGTAGCGCTCTCCAGTGTGGCCCCCAACGCTCCCGAACGAACGGGAGCGTTGGTAGCGAGTGGCCCCAGGGCCAGTCCTACCAACACGCCCGAGGACCTGAGAGGCGCTCTATAGGGCTGGAACCCGAACTCATGCTTACTGCGGGCGCGGCGGGATGTCCAACAACTCATGAGAAAATTGCGGCATGACCCGAGCCCAGCTAGCTTCAAATGCGACAGCCTCGCGCCTGCACGGAGCTACTACTAGTGGCCGCCGTTCGACTTGTTGACGAGCAGCTCCCAGCGGTCGGGCTTGACGACGTCAGGCAGGATGCCGATGGAGTCCAGCACGCGGGGCAAGAGCCTCTCCAGCACGTTATGACTCATTGCGTTCCCAATCATGTGTGCCAGGCGGGCATCAGTCACCTTCGCGCCACGCCTGGTGTTGAACGTAGCAGGATCAAACCCTTGGAGCAGAGCCATTTCATCCAGCGTCACGCGCCGACCAAGATCGGCGACCCAGAAAGCAAAAGACACTGCCCGCGTCGCCGTAATGGTGGGGAACTCGTCGACCGTGTAGTGAGCGAACTGGGACGTCCCCCCGATGTCGACGATGATCCTGGAGTCCGTCAGCTTCACGTCGCACTTGGCCGCGTCGCGGAGTGCCGCCAGGACGTGATCCTTCTCCCTCTGGTTGTCCGGCAGCATGCCCTTCAGCGTGGTGACTTTGGGGCCCATGATGATTTTGTTCAGGGGGACGGTGCGAGTGAGCGGCAAGGGCCACGTGAATTGGCGCCTCTTCGCGCAGATCCT